CAAGAGAAAATGAAAAAGAAAAAAAACATATTGAATAAATAGATCGTAAACAGGTGTAAACTGTTTTATTTTACATGTTTTGACTTTTAACTTTTATTTTCCATGACTTGTTTCTCCCGTCAGAATTTAGGAACCTGTGTACGAGCTTCTTTTTCTTACTTTCCTTCCTTCTCTCTCTCCGAGTGTTTTAAAAACATCTCCTCCATCCTCGCTGCCTCTGAACCCGCCGCCGCCGCTCCGTCACTGTCCGCCTGCTTCCTGTCCACTGTCCTCTGTCATCTCCGTCAAGCCCACGTCTCTGTGTCTCTCTCCTCTTTATCTTTTCCTCCCCTCGTTCTCCTGAACGAAGCTTCAGCTGCAGCACAAACGTCTCGTGCTGTTTCATCCTCTTAAAATATTCTCCTAAGAATAACCAGGAACACCTCGGAGGAGCAGTCAACCTGCAGAATCACTCGCCCTGGGAAGCTGCCGTCGTCAGATTCTCCCTACGGCTCTGACTATTAATAATTTCGGGCGGAATTACTTATTGAAAAGTTTTATCACGGACACAGAATGAAAATGTATTTCTTCATTTTTAGGTTTTACACAAAGCTGTTGCTCAGCAGGTCCATAAAAACCCTGGATTTTCAATAATAATCTTAAAAATGCCCAAAAAAAGTTGATGTTTTCACAGAAAACATCCAAAACTATTTTATTTCTTATTTTAAAGGAGAAAGAAAAACATTTCACCGGGGAGGTTTTGTCTATTTGCTTAGAATATGATTGATTATCGATTATTAAAGAAGCTGCTGATTCATTTTCAGTCAACTGTTAATCACGTAATTGTTAATTATTGTAATTGGGTTCAGTTCTGGGGCTTTGTCATTGGTCGACCTTGCAGCTGCAGATGGGACAAGATGGGAGGAGGTGTGTGTGTGTGTGTGTGTCTGTGTGTGTGTGTGTTTAAGGTTTAAAGGAAGAGCTGTCAGGAGAATCCAGGTCATGTCACTGGTGTGTTTCCCCGGAACACATTTCTCTTTTCTGATCCTTAAACAAAGGATTAGCTTCTTATTTTTGTTGTTGTTGTGGCGGGAGGCAGAAATACTTTACTCTTGTTATCCCACAGTTTATGAAAATGAAAACACTGATCACACCTGACTCCATCAAACGAGGCACATATAGTTGTTTGCTTTTGTTTTATTGGATTTTGTTTTAGGTTCACATTTTAAGCGAGAAGCTGGACTTCAGTCGTGTTCAGTCAAAGTGCGGCTCCAAGGATAATCTGAAGCACACGCCCAAAGGAGGCAATGTATGTACGCCTTTCTCTTTTTCTTCCCCTGTTCTCTCTTTCTCTTCCTCCTCTTCTGTTTGGCTGCTGCAGCGCTCGCTCGTGCTGCTTTTACATGTCCATCTGTCGAGCCATCTCTCCGTCTGGGCCAAGTGCAGAACATCCACGTTATTTCTTTATCAAGCTCAAACTAAACTCCACTACTTTTGTTTTTGCATTTAGTGAATTTATGACTCTGTGGATCACTGCGTTAAAAGTGCAGCATCTTAACGTGTAGATCAGCTCTGACAGATTTGAAACTCTCCCTGGATTGTTTTGTGCAGGACGGAGTGGAGGAGGAGATGATGATCCCGGTGTCGGCTGCAGGTTCATTCTATAATAAAAAGTCCCCCTCTCGTTCGCAGGTCATGATCCCAAGTGTTAAACTGGACTTTAGCCACGTTCAGTCTAAATGTGGCTCCCTGGACAAAATCCAGCACACGGCCGGAGGAGGAAATGTGAGTGACATGTTATTCTCTTAAACTCGTACGTTCAGGTGTGGACGTGCGTGTGAACCGTATCTGGAGTCGCCTCCATCACGTTACATGTTTCGCCTGTAAACATGAATTCATGTTTTTGCTCCACAGATCCAGATCCAGACCAAGAAGATCGACGTGAGCCACGTCACCGCCAAATGTGGCTCAATGTCCAACATCCGCCACAGGCCAGGTACCGTCACATACACCTTTAGTCTCACACACACTGACGAGAACATTTGACCTCATGCGAGAACAGATTTTGTTTAACTCTGCAATTTGAATTATGAAATTCTTCTAACTTGATTCATGCACCTGATAAATGTTGATGTCCGGGGAATTGAACACTTCTGATAACGGGTCAGGAATCGCTAATGTGCAGAAGTACACAGGTCAGACCTGGTACTGCTGCTGTTGTCCAGCACCGTGTCCTCATGAGGTTCTTTGCCCCGAGCGTTGCTCTCAGGAGACGCTGCAGGCGAGCGATGCCCCGTGGCTTTGACGCTTCTCCTCTCCTGCTCCCAGGGGGCGGTCAAGTGCGCATTGACAATGTGAAGCTGGACTTTAAGGATAAGGCCCAGCCCAAGGTCGGCTCGCTGGACAACACCAGCCACACTCCTGGGGGGGGCAACATTATGGTAAAAAGAAGCACGCACATATCTGTCGCTGCCAGAATCTGGAAACAACCCTTAACTCTCTTTCTTTCTTCAAACACGACAGATCGAGAGCCACAAGCTGACCTTCCGGGAAACGGCTAAAGCCCGAGTCGACCACGGTGCAGAGATCGTCGTCACCCACTCCCCCGGCGTGGAGACGGGAGGCACCTCCCCTCGCCTGTCCTCCGCCGGCAGCATCAGCCTCCTGGAGTCACCACAGCTCTGCACGCTGGCCCAGGACGTCACCGCCGCTCTCGCCAAGCAGGGCTTATGAGCTGGCTGCTCCCGCTTCGGTTACCCACAAAAAAAAAAGAAAAAAAAATCCACAGCATCACTCCCATCAGTCTCAGTGTTCTCCCAGCATTCCTCACACACCCCACCCCACAGGCTGTTGTAGTTGATTGACTGTCTCGTCCGTCAACGACCCTTCCACACATTCCAGTGGGATTTTACTCTTTATTTCTTCTTCATTCCGCTCATACGGACTTTTCTGTTTAGTTTCAGGCCGAGTGCTCCGGTTCGACTGGACGTGCGTGTCGATGAGAAGAGTCGATGGTTTTACGATTGTACAGTGATTATTTTTTAGCTTGAAAAGCATCACCACATTCCACGTGTACGGGGGAAACATTTAACTCCATCCAGAATTTATACGGTACCGAATGCAAGATATAGAAACTAGAAACTAGACGGGAGTCTTAAAGAAACACGTATGGTTGATGAGCATGTCTGCAAAAAAAAGTGACATTTGAAGTCAAACGACATGAAATGTTTTGGGTTTGTCGGTTGGATTTTGATCGTATGATTTCCTGATATGTGCTGAATCGTTGTTCTGTTTTCTTTTTATATATATATATATAAATGTCACTGTAGTGGAAGTTGTCCCTGGTTTTGTATGTTCCCTGTGGCTGCTCTGGCTTATTAGCACCTCAGCGTGGATAACCACAGCAGTTATGTGAGTCAAGTGCTAAAAGATTAGCTTTCCAATAGATCCTCTCTTGTTTTACTTCTCTCAAACCAATAGGCTGCTCTTTTTTTAATTTTTACGTTTGCTTCGTGGTTTCATCAGGCTACAACAACGCTGTTATGCTGGCATGGCCAATAAAACATAAAACTACATCTGTTTGGAGAAATTTAAAACTTTTCAGTGTCTTTACTTCAGTCTGCTCCTGTGACTTGTGTCCTTGTGCAGAAACTGGGTCGTATGTTTGTGAAAGACTAGAAGAGAAAGAGGAAAAAGGGGAAAGCAAGAAGCTTTATATGAGAACACTTGTTTTGACAGAGCAGCTTCGTGGCCCTTTTGTGTGATTGAACCGAAAACGACCAAGACCCTCGACTTCAAGCTGTTAGAATTCATAAAAAAAAGATTTAAAAACAGGAACATATTCTCTGCTCTCCGTTGTGAAACCCCTTCTGCCCCGATGTCCGCTCCCGCCCCCCCCCACAGTGTTTTTCTGTGCTTCCATCCTCTTGCCCCCGTGCTCCCCAGCGCCCCCTTCTGCCTGTGTAAAGTGTATTTAAAAGACCATGTAGATGTGTGCACACTTTCTGATGTTCTGATGACAAGCGCTCCTGCAGGATGACGACAACACAAATAAAGAAAATAAAAACGGACTCACTCTGGTTCTTCTTTGTCCTAAGTCTCGGATTGTAAACTCGTGTGGCTGATTGATTTGGGTTCAGAGCAGAGAGGTGCCCGTTGGTTCACTTCAAGATCCAGAGGTTATTATCAATTATAAACGGCGTGATGTGTTATTCATATTAAGCTCGAACACGTGTGCACTTTAGAGGGTTTGTCTGGCTGCTCTTACATGTTTTATGAAAATACATATAAAAATAAATACATGTGTTTT